TAAATTTAAAATAAAGCCGCGATTATTTAAATCGTGGCTTCATTACCCTTTGCCGAACAAACAAATCTACATGGCTCCGTCAGCGGAGCCATGTAGTTTAGATGTACCCCAAGTGTCCAACTCCCAGTTAGTGAATCTAACTCTGGGGAATTTTTGTAAGCAGAGCCTATAGAGACAAGGTATTTTTAAGTTCTCTGATGGGTCCCCACCTTCTGCAGTTGGCGTGCCAGAAAGGGGAACAGAGCCCACAAAGTTTCTATTTTTTTCTTTTTGCTTCAACTATGGCCTCCTATAGGGCGACATGTAACAGTTCCTTGCTGATCCACTCCCTCTGCTCCACCATGCTCTCCTTTTACTGGGGTGCATAGCACCATGGGGCATTAGTCCAACAGCCACACTAAGGGGGACATACATACACAGCAGATTGAAAGGTTGGGAAGGATGTGTCTTTCAGGCCCCTCAGTGGTTTACAGGTGCTCCCGCTCACTGCAGGGTGTAGTGGAAGGTAAATTTGTAAGGAAATGGAATGGGAGATTGTGGAGGAAAAAGAGATGGTTGGTCACTTCATTTAATGATTTCCCCTCTTGCATCACTTGAGCCAGCTGTAATTCCTAGAAATAAAAATATGTTGTAGGGATGTGGGTGTAAGCACCCAAGATGCAGAGACACTCAGGAGCATCCCCTCATTAGGGATGCTTCCCAGAGTCAGAATGTAAATTGTCATTAAATATTAATGGATGCTCCTTGCCTTAATCTCTTCCTGGTCTGTTGCTTTATTCACTCACCCCTATAGACAGACATGTGCATTGGGAGAGAGGCTAAGTGATTCCACATCCTGTGTGGAGGGTGGAGGGGGAAGACAAAGGTATGAATATAGGATGGGAGGCTTACAAGTGTAATTGACGGGCCAAGAGCTTGTGTCCAGCCAGTGATGTGCAGGGCATGTTCCTGCATTTCTCATAGATCTCTGACAGGTGGCACAGTATCCTGAGTCCTGCACCTTCTGAGTGGTCACTGTCACCACCCACTGAGCAGTTTCATACTTCTGGAGATCTCTCCCTTTGTGGCTTTCACTATGGCTGGTGACATTCTACCCTAATATGACAAACCAGAATGCTATTTGTCACACCTGTTGTCTGAATAAGAGCAATTACAACAAAGACTATCCATGATATTGATGGTATCCAGTCATCCAAACATAACCTACAATGTGGAGGCCAATGGCCAAATAGAAATCAGCTCTGACTCAGCTGTTACAATGACCATGTTAAAGGAATAATCCTTAAGTGGCAGCCTCAGTAAATAGGCTCCTTTCTTAAGATTAAGGAACAATATTCCCCAGTATATTCTGTGGATATAAAGTTTAAAATAAATCTCTTGCAAACATAATATCTTGGTCCCACTAGGCTATGTGCTGTGAATTCTTCAGGGAGACTTCTCTGAATAAGGACTGATATGCTTAAGAACAGTTTTGGTACTTCCCTATGAAACTACTTATTTCCACTGTTCTTTAACCCCATAAATAAATGGAACAAACAGAAAATCTCATTAGAAAATTAAGATGTATTATTTTATTTTAGAAAACACATTTAATTATTACTTACTTGTAAAGTTATTCTTGGTACATGATCTATTTTAAAACTCACAACTCAATGAATTAAGATTTCATACCATTGAGAAAATGATGCTATCCAGAAGAAATACTGCAAAAGCTGCCATATACATGCCCATAAATAAACTGCATGATTTTCATGCTTTAAAAGACAGAGGATAAAAAGAGGGGTTTTGGAAGATTCATTTCAAGCATTCCTATTTCAGTACATTTTCTGCATTCAGTAAAACTGTGAAAAATACATAGAATAAAACAAGATGAATAGACTTAGGTGGGGAAGAACAAAGCTTACAATATGCTGGTGGGTTTTTTTTCCCAATGTATCAGAAACTAAAGAAGCAAACAAAAGAAACTCCATTCCCAAACTAAAACATTAATAGTAATACAGTGTTCTAACACCTAAACTCACATGACATAACCAAGATATATTACTTAATGTTCAAAATACACAGTTAAAGCACGGACACAGGTTATTTACTGCAAACATTTTTGTAGTATCTAGATCTCAATACATATGGTATAATAAATGTTCACTCCTTATATAATCGATCTATGTCGTATTTCATTGTGTTAAAAAAATCATGTTCATGATTCATTGAGTCTATTGATATATTTTGGAGACTATGTTTACCTGGATAAAAAAATAGACTTAACCCTTTGAAGTAGATAGTGTTATACTGTATGTAAAGTGATCTTTTGAAATGGATCTATGATAATCATTGCTACAGACACTAACTTGGGTGACTGCTATACATTTAGCATAGAAGTACAATTTAAAGTGAGAAAAGAACACAGTGGAAATTATAAATAATTAAAAATACAGATTAAAAACCCCTGTATTTCCTATGACTCATTCACAACATCACTTTTTCTACAATATAATGATTAAAGGAGAAGTTGCTTAATAGGGTTATATTCTATATCCATGGTCACAGCTTTTTGGTAAATGTGCTCCAGTATCAAAAATATGTTTAAATATTTTATCAGCACACAGACACTTTGACCTCTGTTATCACAGTATTATTCTGTTACAACAACCTGCTTCCATATATTCTAATCACTCTTCTGATTGTATCTTTTGAAGCAGGACTTCTCTTTTCACAAGTTGTATTTTCATAGTTGTAACAATTATTCCAATGCTCAAAGGGCCAAAAATAATGCACAAACCTAAACAAAAAGCCAATAGGCAGATACAGCCTCTTCAATATTTAGCTTTCTTCTTTCCCTTCTTTTACAGTTAGGGCACATTAGGAAATTATTTTGAAATAACTTATAAATAATAACTCCCAAAATAACTATTTCAATATTGTGTGTCCACACTACAGGGAAACCTCAAAATTAGTCTAAGGCAGGCTCCTTCTATGTGGATGTGCTACCTTGCTAACAGCCCCAGGAAGCTCTGGGGAGTGATTACTTTGAATGACTCTGGGGAATAGTTATTTTGAAATAGCAGGAAGGGGGCATCCATACTATCACTATTTCAAAATAACTGTTTCGAAATAAGCATTATTCCTCATGGAGAGCAGGAGTTATTATTTCAAAATAACCAGCCCCTCATTTTGAAATAATGGGGTTGATTGCTTGTTATTTAGAAATAAGGGGAGTTATTTAAAAATTACTCCCAAGTATAGACCAGGTCTTAGATGTCAACAAAGCAGAATTATTCTGCTCAAAGGATTAGAATTAACAAATAATTGTATTTACTAGTGTTTATTACAAACAAAGTGGGCTAAATTCTACTCTGTTTTGCATGGTTAAATCTGCAATAAACTTAAATTAATGCAATAACTGCAGAATCTCATTCACTTTTAGTTAGGGAACAAATCCCAGTCCCCAGAAAGCAATGGTAAAATTTCCACTACTTCAGTAGGAGGTGGTCATTGATTTCTGTGGATCACTACTTGGCCTTAACAGTGGACAGTACAATCATTAAGTGTGGAAAGATACTTTGAAAATGCTGTGTCAAATCTTCAGCCCCCTACAGCTAGTAGCACAAAGTTTTGTGAAAGCAAGTACAAATCTCCAGAGAGTTTGTCTACTAAAAGGGAATCCTTGGGTGAGATAGGGGCAGCATCTGGGAGGAGAGGCATTAGAGATATGAAAAGGAGAAAGGAGAGGTGACAGGAATTTTATTTTTGACCTGTGAAGCCTGAGCTGCTGGAATGTTCCCTTTGAAATCACTGTTGCTTAGAAGACAGAACAAGGTGAATGTTTTTGAGGCTAAATGAGTCCCTGATCAGCCTCAGGATAACAGGGACACATCACTGGCAAAAGCCACCTTTTCTTCTCTTCCCAGCTCCTACGTGGGTGGGCACAGCAATAGCATAGCTGAGAATCTGCCTCTAATGTGCCCAGACTACCTTCATAAGTGAATTACCCACTGATACAGTCTACAAGAAGCAGGAAGTCATCACTCCAATGAAAAATGAGAGTCCTCCGCCTCCACCAATGTTCTCGCCCCACACACCACTTCTGGAGAGCCAGGAGTGGCTGAGACAGCATGGTGAGGGAGTCTCTGGGATGGGAGGCTGGGACCTTCTGCTGCCCGTGCCCAGACTACCTTCATAAGTGAATTACCCACTGATACAGTCTACAAGAAGCAGGAAGTCATCACTCCAATGAAAAATGAGAGTCCTCCGCCTCCACCAATGTTCTCGCCCCACACACCACTTCTGGAGAGCCAGGAGTGGCTGAGACAGCATGGTGAGGGAGTCTCTGGGATGGGAGGCTGGGACCTTCTGCTGCCCTGTAGCAGGTCGGGGGTGGGGGGGCATGTTTGCTCTGGTGGCCGGGAATGTGTGTATTAATAAATTGGGTGCCATGGTGGCACACATCCAAACCACTGCTCATGACTTCAATATTAGTGCACAAGCCAAAACAAATTCTGCTCATGGTTGGAAAATTTTAGAGGGAACACTGCCCTCCTTCCCCCATTAAGATGCTTCCTATATTTGTATTAGAAGCAAAAACTGCTGAATGCTGAGTAGAATTTAAAACACAAAAGACTGTCTGAAGATCTGCTTAAAATATGTCTGTAGATACCAATACACAGATCCATCTTCAGTCTTGCTACCTTCACAGTATGTTGTTAGAATTCAGTGTCTTTTTCTGGCCACTAAAAGGAGAAGGTAAGTCACAGTGTGGGGGTTGATTTCCAGAAACTATTGGTCAACTCCATTTGTGAAATGTGTGTGATGGTCCATTGTTACTTCTATCTGAAACACTGAGACAACTAGCTTCTGTTACATTTTGTCAGCATACACAAATCACCATTTAAATGAAACTGATATTGTGGACTGGAGCAGAGCAGTCAGAGGCATATATATATATATATATATTACAGACATGGAAAAAGGAATATTTAAAGTTAGCAGTCTCTTTGTGTGTGTGAATGTATGTTTGTGATATGTATAGACTCACATTGTTTATGTATGTATAGAATAATGTATATCTGCTTCACTGGTCCCAAGTCAATAGCATGGGCTGAATGGCTGGAATTTTTTCATAGTTCCTTAAGACCTGGCTTTCTTACAGTGTTCCAATCAAATGCCTATTGGAAGTATGTGGTGTTATACGCTTCATCGGGATAATTGAATTATTTAAGGCATTAAATGTAAACAGAGTGCACAATTAAACAAGAACTGGAAGCATTTCAAAACAAGAAGCATTTCATCTGCAGCGCATTGAAGTGCATTTTTCCTGTAATACATTACCTTTAGATTTAGATAGCATTAGCCTTCCCATTACAAGTGTTGTCATTTTTACTGACAAAACCATCCAGTGTACAGTAGTGTTAGTTATTTAGCAGCTATTTCTAATAGCAAAGTGGTAGATAGTGTTACACACTGGAAAGGAGGCAGATAAGGGCAGACTTGTATGTACTTGGCAAAGCAATGTGACAGTTTCCAAATTATTATGCAGTGATTAGAGGAGCAGTTCCTACTGGCATTAACAGAGAGACAATACCACTGGGTGCCGTATTAGAGGTCCTGAAGAGTATGGCTTGATTTTCAGAGAGAAGTTGGTTCTAGTGTCAAAATGCTGATAAATCAATCTGATTGGCTGAATTGGTACTCTTGTCCCAGGTGTTTAGCTTTGTAGGAGTGGCACCTGGCCTATTCCCAGTCATCTGAAAAACAATATACAGTAGTATTAAAACTAGATTTACCCTTTTGGTAAATTGTATTGATTGGAGAACATGAAAACCTGAAAGCATCAATCTAGACTCCACATTCCCTCATACTCTTGAGAGCACAAGCCATAAAGGAGACATTTAACATGTATTGTCAGGTATTACTAAGTGATCATTGCCAATTACTTCAAAAGCTGTCATTTTTAATATACAGTTTCTTATCAAATAAATTGATTTTGCCTCAAGGTAACTTAAGCCTTCCTTGAGTGTATATGTATGTGTGTGTGTGAGTGGGGTAAGGGGAATGCATACATACATGTTGATTTGCTTATATAAATGTTTATTCGAGAGATTCAAATGTAAAGAAGGTTGGAAATTGTCTGCTGGAACAGTTCTGCATCAGAAAATTCCAATTCATCAAAAGCAAAATGTTTCATGCAAACCTGTCACTTTTGACAAGTCTCTTGCTGGGTCACCTGCAGAACTCAGCCTGTCAGGCAGATCTCAGATCTCTCCCAGCCACTATGCCCAGCTGCTTGATAGAGCAGCTGAAGGGCTGCCTATTAGTAGACACTCCTGGGTTTCCAGGATTTGCATCTCCAGGAAAGTCTTGTCTTGTTATGTGGAATGTCCCGAGGGTTGTGGATGCCACAGCTTCCAGACTCCTATGCCAGTTGGCTGTCTGGACTAACTGACTTCTGCAGCCCAGGGAGCCAAGTGGTCTGGGAAATCAGCTGGCACTGAAACCCAATATCCAGGCTCTAGCTGGGGCACTAAGAGCTTCCATATGCTCCACCACAAAGAGGGGAGTCTGGAAGTTATGTGGAATGTCCCGAGGGTTGTGGATGCCACAGCTTCCAGACTCCTATGCCAGTTGGCTGTCTGGACTAACTGACTTCTGCAGCCCAGGGAGCCAAGTGGTCTGGGAAATCAGCTGGCACTGAAACCCAATATCCAGGCTCTAGCTGGGGCACTAAGAGCTTCCATATGCTCCACCACAAAGAGGGGAGTCTGGAAGTTCTAGGATAGGCTTCAGGAATTGTGGTTCCAAGGTAAAGCTGCCAGGCTGACTGGCCTTAGAGCTTCCATAATCTTGAGACAGACAGCTCCTAGGTCTGCCCAAATCTCAGGGAATTTGGCTCACAAAATTGTGGGAGTTGGTCATTGGAGAGTCCTGCTGGCCCAGGAGCCTAAAAGCCCTGGGTCCTATTAGTCCCTTGCTTCGGGAATTGCATAGTAGGACTGCTTGAAGTCAGAAATCATAGAAGACTTGACAGCTGACAGCTGAAAATGACCTGATCAAAACATTTCCATTTGATAAAAAAAATTCAAAACTATTGAAATAGCCAAATTAGCCAAGAAACAATAATTCTGACTTTTGACAGCTCTACCTCCAACTAAAAGTTATGGTCTTCAGAGGAACTCAATAGTGAGACCAGCTACAATCTTAAAGGACCCAGTACAAAGCTCATTGGAATCAATGGAGAGATTCTCATTGAATTCAATAGGCTTTGGATCAGGCCCCAAATCTGTGACATTTTGTTGTATCAGAGAACAGAATTTAGCCCACTGCTTTCAGAATATCTCCTAGAGTTACAACACAACACTTGTCCATCACAACTGGCTATAGAACAAGCTGTAGACACAGAGGTAAGTAACTCTGCTGTCCCCCATCATCTTTCTTTCCACAAGATTATTGTAGAGCTGGACAACATTTTCAGCTAAAACTTTTTTTTCCGCCAAAAAAATGCAGATTTTCATATAATGAAACATTTTGCCCGAATTTGTGTCAATTTGGACAAACCGTTTCAGACTAAACAAACAAAGAAAGATTTATGCGTGTTAAAACAAACCATTGTTACATTTTGAACATGAAATGTTTCAATTTTCAAGGCTACACAAAGCTGTGTAGGAGAGGTTGGTATTATTCGCATAGTCTAGTGATTAGGGTACTCACCAAGGATCTGGGAGACATGAGTTTGTAACCTGGGACAGGAGCACAGACTGCAACCCAGGTCACCCTCTTCCCAAGTATGTGTCCCTAACCATCATGCTAGTCTCGGATGGACCTCTGTGTCTCTATTGGCTGGACTGAGGGGGCAGTTATCAATCCAGAGGGGTTCAATTTATCACATCTGTAATAAACCAACTGCTGATCCCTCTCCCATTGACTCCCCTACTCCACCTGAATAAAAAAGTCAAGGCGAGTTGACAGGGGAGTGTCTTCAGTCAACACACTTCAGTGAAAACACCATGGTAAGTAGATGTATGTACATTGACTTCAGCTACATTATTCATATAGCTGAAGTTGTGTAACTTAGATTCAATCTCCTTCAGCAGTGAAGACCAGTTCTTCAGCTCTTTTGTTAAATCCTATGTCTTTTGGTCTCTGGTTTTGTGAATCCAGCCCTTCAATTTCTTTGCTTGTGTTAAAAAATGTTAAAAATAAAATCATTTCAGGCTAAACAAAATGTGTTTTAGAGCCCAAATAAAGTTTTTCTATTATTTTCACTTTAGTAAAAAAAATTTTAAAATGTTTTTACTTCAGTTTGACCAAACCAAACCACTCTTGATTTTTTTCAGAACTGCCAGTGAACATATTAGCTAGTTCACAGTTTTGCTCTACAGCCCTAGAGCCCATACAAAAGGATAAAAATGGCACTTATGGGAGTACTTACAATATCAGAATTGAAGGGTTTCACATTGATGTTGCGACTTGAACTGCTTGTGAGGGACCACACCTTTGTTTTGTGTTTAAAGGCGGCTCTAACCTTTGGAAAGAGGCATTAGAAGGTTGTCAGAAGATGATGATCCTAATCTGGTTATATTTATTCCTCAAGTACAAACTATTATCTTTATCTTATAAGTTAATGAGAGTTCATATACAAATAACATTATGAAATATTTGTCGTTCTACTGTGTAGTAGTAGTAACATCGCAGGGTTCCATTTTATTGTTTATCAAGAGGCACATTTATCAGATTAGAACATTTTATAAGTAAAAATATAAACTCAAATTGTATCAACTACATCTTTGCACCCTACACCGAATACTGAGCAATTCCAAAGGAACTGCTCTACCAGGAGCCAGCAATTGCTCTAGCCTCCATGTGCACCCCAGAAGCACAAGGTCTGCCAGGGATCTTCTAGTTTCTATGTGAGTCACCAAATTTATAGCTGGGCCCTGCAGCGCTGACACTGCACAGACACACCCATTTCTCTCTAATGGGATGAGGGGATCTGGCATGCAGAATTTCTCCTCCAGAACCCCTCCCTGAAAGTTTTTCCCTAACAGGCGATGATCCAAGCCATTACTGTCATTTCTAAACTGCTAGCCCTGCAAATTCAAATAGTCAAGTAACTCCATCAACTTCTATATGCCTGCACAGGTGTCTGTGGGAAAGGAGCTATTTCAAAATAGCTACAGAGGATCATCCACACTACTTCTATTCTGAAATAGTTATTTCAGAATAGGCATTATTCCTCATGGAATGAGGTATACAAAAGCTGGAATAACCCATCCATTATTTCAAATTTATTTCGAAATAATGGAATTGCTTTGTAGATGCTCACATAGTTATTTCAAAATAACTGAGTTGTGTAAATGCACCCCCTTGTGACAATACAAGCTCACATTCTCAAACAAGCCTCCCTGAAGTCCTTGCCTTTAATTTGGCACTTGATTGTCTGATCACATTTACAGGTGGCAGGCAACAGAATACTCAGAACCTTAGCTACAGACATATATATATGAACTACATAATGCTTTTCAGTATAAATCAGCTCATTTCTGGATGGATCAAATAAAACTGCACAACCCAGAAATGTGATGATTGCTGTATGTCAGTTTATTATGCTTCTTAGTTTAGAAGGTGGGGACAAAACAATTACACGTGATTCTTAAATCCTCATAGAGGGGCAATACCAGTATCTCCATTTTAGAACTGGGGAAAAGGAGGCACAGAATACGGAAGTGACTTGCCCATGGGCACCCAGACAGGGAGTGGCAGAGTCAAGACTAGCACGTAGGTCTCCTGATTCCTAGCCCAGTGCTCATGTCTCTAAGCCATGTTGGTGCCTGCAAATTAGAATCTAGCATGATTTACAAAATACTTATTGTTAAACCCTAGTGGAGAAAAACCAGGAAAATTAACTATAGCAGTGGCCTGTCAATCTGTGAGACTTAGTAAATCATGAGAGAATTAATTATCACTGTGTTGATCTGGTACCTTTTGAAGTCAGTGGCAGTTTTGCCCTTCTGAAAGCAGAAGGGAGCCAACTGTTGAGGATTAAAAAAAAAAACCATTCTTATTTTCCTGACATGTACAATTAAAACTGGCATAAGGTGCTCTGTGTATTTGTAGTTCCTCTGGTGTTTTATATGTGCCTTTTTATATTTCTCTTATATGCTATAATTGTTGTTTATATTCTCCTCCCACTTTTGTTGTTGTCCTCCTTTTTACTTTGAAAAACAAAACAAAACAAAAAATAATTGTGGGTAAAAAATTGTACTTTGCTCTGTCATTGCATAATCCTCAGAGAATCAAACGTACAGCCATATTTTACAGTATTTCCTCAAACAGATCTTATGCATTGCTTGTAAAATCCTGTATCTCTACTTTACCCTTCTACTTCAAAATACTGCTAGTGGTTTTGCTTTCCTTTGAGAAGGAAAGAATTTTTTAAAGTGTTTTTGGAAGGTGTCTTTTAAGTAGAGCACCTCATAGAAACAGTACAGTGGAGCTAATGAGAAATATTCCTCAAAAGGCGGTTGTTCATTCCTGTGGTTTGCCAGAAATTCAGACTCTGAAGTACCTAGTGCCTCTAAAATCATCCGGAGGAGTATATGAATTCCCTTCCTTAGTAAAGAAAAAAGAAGGTATCAAGTCAGATATAAATATCTAGGTGCTGGGTTCTTTTATTTGGGAGTCAGATGGTTCATGGAAAGATAAGTCTGTGATCACAGGGAACAACAGATTATTTAAATATTTTTCCTTCTTACTTCTTACCAGCCCTCGTAGCTTTACACATTTATGCCACTTTCTGTTCCCACTGCTGCTACATAATTCAGTACGTGACTCTAACAGTATGAACTTCCTGGGGCAGAGGGTTTGATTACATTCAACAATGGTCATGATGATGGTGCTCTGCAAGTACCTGATTATTGCAAGCACCATGTCCTCCGTGCTCTTCTGCTGGTAGAGAAGGCCAGTAACAGTGCAGAACTGGAGCAGTTCCAATATGTATGTGTATCATGGAGGGAAGAGGAATGGTCAGTAGTATGTATATGTGTATATGCTGGGCGGAGGACGGAGGGGCAATAGTCATGCCAGGACCCTGACCAAGGTGGGAGGGGGGTCCTGCACACTCCAGGAAGGGGTGGGACTGGGGCAGCCAGATCTCAGAGCGGCTTGGTGTGCACTGCACTGGCCCCGACTCTCCTACAATGTGGAACTCCTGCAGCAATTTAAAGGGCCAAGTCTGCAGCTGCCACTCATCCTTTGGTAACAGCAGCAGTGGCGGGGAGCCTCAGGCACTTTTGAATAGCTGGTTGCCCCTTTTCCTCCTGCTGTTGGCAGTCCTGATGCTGAGCCATTGGTCAAAACCACCACATGGTATTGGCAGCAGCTCCCATCATTGCCATTGATTTACAGTAACAATGTCATATTACTGGGCTTTTAGTGGTCAGTGTCCAGGAAGAGGGAAGCATTCTGGCTGATCTGGTCCTTGTAGAGATTCCCTGTACAATGGTTGCCCCTTTTCCTCCTGCTGTTGGCAGTCCTGATGCTGAGCCATTGGTCAAAACCACCACATGGTATTGGCAGCAGCTCCCATCATTGCCATTGATTTACAGTAACAATGTCATATTACTGGGCTTTTAGTGGTCAGTGTCCAGGAAGAGGGAAGCATTCTGGCTGATCTGGTCCTTGTAGAGATTCCCTGTACAAAGCCCATTTATCTGGTTAAA